TTGTCTTTCAAATGCTGGTCTTGTCTGTGTTCCTGGGTGAGGTCCGTGGTTCCTGGATGAATTGATGTGAGATGATGGCCCAGTCGTTACAGGCCATTTAGTAGAGGCCTGCTACCATTGTATTTCAATCATTCCCAATCATTCTCATTCATCGGGGAACCAGTTTACGTGGTAGGGGTACATGACTCATACAGTTGCAACATGGGATGCCCAGGCAGCGGACAGCAGATGGAGGCTTGACATATAAAATGGAAACTTGACACGATGTTGGTTCGCTTACAAACACAGGCCTAAACCATACAATATCCATATGAAACAGTAAAAATCAATGCAAACCTAATAATAATACAATATAAAACAGTGGATATCCAAAACCAAAATCTCGCTACCAAAATAAAAATGTTTAACACTTATGCTACATCTTAGCTTACTTATATTTATCTATAGGGAGTAGAGAGGGAGAGAGAAAGTCAGAAATGGTTGGGAAGGGGAGCAAATGTAATAAAAGAAAAACTGGGGGTTTTGCTACACATCCAGGGTTCAGGCAGATCGTGGTGCTCATGGCCCCATCATACTGAGTGCCTGCATGCACCACCTTTAGCAAGATGGTGTGCCCAAGTATGCAGGGAGTACTTGAGGGAGGAGCTGCACAAAGCAGTTCTGCAGGTAGCTTTGCACTTCACCTCAGACTGCTGGAGCAGCCAGGGTGGAGATCATGCCTACCTCTCCCTCACAGGGCACTGGTGCAATCAGTCAGGGCATCAGTGGGCTCTCATGGCAAGGGAGATCATAGTGGCCATGAACTGCATGGTGCAGGGGTGGCTTGTTGGGCAGGGCGAGCTCACCCGCAGGTTCATAGTCACCGACAATAAGGCCAATATGGTCAAGTCAGTGTGTGATGCCAACTTTGTTGGCATCTGCTGTGTGGCACACAAGTTCCACCTCATGGTCATTTCAAAATGCAGGAAGGTGGCAAGCTACTTTCACCGGAGCATCAAAAGGGGCAAGATGCTGCAGCACAGACAGGCAGAGCTAAGCACCCCATAGCACAAAATCATGCAGGGTGTGGAAACTTGGTGGAACTCCACTTACCTGGTGCTGGAACGGCTGGTCAAGCAACAGAAGGCCATCCATAGATGGAGGACCCGGGCACCTATAGGCCCGTCAGTCTTACCTCAATCCTGGGGAAACTCTTTGAGAAGATCATCAAGGAGCACATTTGTGATGGGCCGGCATCAGAAATGATGCTCAGGGGCAATCAGCATGGATTTATTAGGGGGA